AAGTGCCCCCAAAGATCGCCCAAGAGGCCCAAGACACGGCCCCAACAGGCCCCCAAGAAGGCCCAAGGGGTCTCCAAGACGCTCAAGATGGCCTCCAAGACGGTCCAAGAGCCCTCCAAGCCGTCCTCCAAGAAGGCCCGAAAGGGTCAAAATGGCCTCCAGACGGCCAAGATGACCTTCAAGATGCCCACGTGTTCCCCGAAGGCTTTCCAAACCGATTCGGGGAGCACATGGTCCGATAGCCTGGCAGATCTGGCCTCAACGTTCGGCCACATAGGCGCTTCCAAAAAGGCAGGGGGCGGCGGTGATTCGCCGTAGGCGTCTTCGATCCGCCGCCCCCTGTCGATTCATCGCAGGGGTGCCTGGCGTGCTGAACCCTCTCGGTTTTGGTTTTGGTTCTTTGTCCAAAAGAACTCCCCCTGGGGCTTCGGCCCGTCTCGCCGGCCACCCGGAAAATCCCCAAAACGCGTCCGTCGTGCCTCTGTTTCCTCCAGTTGGCCCAAGATGGCGTCCAAGAAAGCCAAGATGGCCCAGAATGGTCTCCAAGACGTCTCCAAGACGGCCCAAGATGGCCTCCAAGACGGCTAAGATGGCCCCAAGATGCCTCCAAGACGGCCCAAGATGTACCCAAGACGGCCTCAGATAGCCCAACAGGCCCACAAAAGGCCTCCAAGACGGTCCAAGAGCCCTCCAAGACGTCCTCCAGGAAGGCCCCAAAAAGCCAAAATCATTGATTTCCAGTTGTTTTTTTAAAGGATTTTGGCATTTACGCCTTTTCGACTTTCCGACGGCCCAAGACGGCCCCCAAGGTCGCCCAAGAGGCCCCCCAAAGGGCCCCATGACGGCCCAAGTGGCCTCCAAGACGGCCCCAAGAGGGCCCAATAAAGAGGCTTCCAACACGCCCAAGATGGTCTCCAAGACGCACAAAATGGCCTCCAAGACGGCCCCGAAGCGCCCCAAGAGGGCCCCAAGTCGGCCCAGAAAGGCCCCCAAGACGGCTCCCGACGGCGTCAGACGTGCCAGGAACCCACCAAGATGGCCGAAGTTGGCTCGAAGCTGGCCCAAGACGGCCCAAGGGGTCCCCAAGAGGGCCTCCAGGAGGGCCCGAAGAGGCCGAAAACATTGATTGTCCTGAGGTTTTTGACGGATTTTGACATTTGCTTCTTTTCGGCCTTCCGACGGCCCAAGACGGCCCAAGAGCCCCCGAAGATCGCAGAAAAATCGCCCAAGACGCCTCCAAGGTGGCCCCAGAACGGCCCAAGAGGGCCCCAAGACGGCCCCAAGAGGCCCCCAAGACGGCACAGGAGGCCTGTAAGACGCCCAAGATGGGCCTCCAAGACGGCCCTGGAGCATTCCAAGAGGGCCCCAAATCTGCCCATAGAGGCCCCCCAAACGGCTTCCGACGGCGTCAGACGGACCAGGAGCCCACCAAGACGGCCGAACATGGCCCTAAGATGGCCCAAGACGGCCCAAGAGGCCTCCAAGAGGGCCTCCAGGAAGGCCCGAAAAGGCCAAAATCATTGATTTCCCATGTGTTTTTGAAGGATCATGGCATTTGTTATTGTTCTGCCTTCCGACGGCCCGAGACGGCCCAAGTGCCCCCAAAGATCGCCCAAGAGGCCCAAGACACGGCCCCAAGAGGCCCCCAAGACGGCCCAAGGGGTCTCCAAGACGCCTAAGATGGCCTCCAAGCCGGCCAAGGAGCCCTTCAAGACGTCATCCAAGAAGGCCCGAAAGGGTCAAAATAACCTCCAGACGGCCAAGATGACCTTCAAGATGCCCACGTGTTCCCCGAAGGCTTTCCAAACCGATTCGGGGAGCACATGGTCCGATAGCTTTGCAGGTCTGGACTCAACGTTTGGCCACATAGGCGCTTCCAAAGAGGCAGGGGGCGGCGGTGATTCGCCGCAGGCGTCTGCGATATGTGTGGTGCAGCCTGCGTGGTGAAAGATATGACGCGCACGCTGCGTGCTGCAAACAATGACGTGGACGGCGTCCGCGGTACAACCTGCGTGCTGCAAGCCATGTGGTGCAAGCTGCGTGCTGCAACCTGCGTGGTGCACGCCACGTGGTGCGGCAGCGCGTGGTGCAAGCCACGTGGTGCAAGCTGGGCGGCGGTGAAAACTTTGTGGTGTGTGCGTGTGTGCCATTTACGTGGATAGGGGGCAAACAGACCTACCTCGCTTTTGACCACCCTCGCTTCCAAGAGATGCCAAGCGATGCCAAACTACGGACTGTACTGGTCAGGCCGCTTGACGAGGAGGCGCGTGGTATGACTTGGTTTTGCCTGGAAGCGCAAGCGGGGTAGGTAATTCACGCTCTGAGTGGAGCAAGCTCGTTGCTGCCTCCTTCCCACAAGCCCGTGACCTCCGCTCGCAGGCTCGCGGCGCTGGGCTCCCCCAGGAGCCGCAGAAGGTGGCTCGGCCTGCCGCCGAGCCACGCCCCCCCCGAGCCAAGGGGGGGCTCGGCAGGCAGGCCCTCGCTCGCGACGCCCCCGCCGCACGGAGCCAACGGCCTGAATCCATATGTGGTACAATCGTCATTGCCTTCCGGTGGTGGACAAACCTCCCGTTGGTAGACCTCCCTGTAGTGAAAACAGCCTAGGCCCGAAACCGACGGACCTGGACATGCGAAGATGACGGCCGCGACGGCCTCGCGCGAACCGAAAACGGCCGATTCGCCAATCGACGTGTCAGGGTAGGAGGTCGATCCCCCCCCGAGCCTTGCAGACGTGCGACAGCGGATTTCTGCGCGGATGTGTGCCCGAAGCGGCGAGCGAAAACCGAAGCGCATTTCGCGCGGGCTCTTTTTTGATCTTCATTCCTGTCCAACTAACAAACGTCCGCGCGAATCGGCTGTACGCAAGAGTGACCCTGGGTAAGAGCGACCTCGGCTCTGCACCGCCAAAGAACTCAGGCGTGCGTGCCCCTTGCCGCGAGGACGGCAGGACTCGCACCAACTGCCCAACGCGAGTGTGGGGCGGCAAAAGAGGAGGAGGAGAAGGAGGAGGGAGAGAGGGAGGGAGGAGCAACGACAAGCCTGCAGAACACCCAAACATCAACTAAATGCTTGTATGATTGTTTTCCTGCATACCCTCCATAAAACATGTATTTCTCCCAGGTGCGACATGGTCTGAGTCAGTGGCAATGAGCCTGTGCACCATGGTGTGAGACTGCGTTGGCTTATGCGTCAATTTTTAAATAGTTGTCGCTCTTCCGGTGTGTACAAATAAATGGTTGCTTTCGTAGGGCCGATTCGTGCGGATCGCATCTGGTGGAAAGATTCCATCTCCTTGAAGGCTGCGTACCAATGCGCGTCCCGTGTCCTAAAAAGAACATGGGGTATATGATGTTTCATGGCTGCTTGCCAATAGTGTACGTCGTCCAAGCGCAACACCATACCGATACGTTTGTCGCATCACTACGTACAAGTATTTGATGCTCTTCAAATCCGAACGGCTGTTCCATAACGTACATCTGTGAGTTCCGCCAAAACCCGTCGCTGTACATTGACGGGGCTGCACGTTTTGGGAATTATCCAACCAGCTGCGCAACACTTGCTTGACTCAACTTAGGTAGGGGGGGGAATCCGCCCTGCTAATTTTTAACAACAAATTCTGTTTGCCAAACTGGTTGCGCACGAGATGGATATCACCAACGTCTCCTTACTGGGCTGCAATCTCTGCATGTAGTCCTTGGCAACCGTGCCATAATGCGTTTTCATGGCTGGAGGGTACGATGTACGAGCATGGGTTAAATTCTCAGCACGGAGGATCGCCCTCCTGCTTTTCGAACAAACTCTGGCCACCGCAAACAACATGATGTGACGACATCCGCCACTACGGACGTGCGCATCCGTGTGAATGGAAAGGTACAGTGCATCAAGAGAGTACTCAATTGAACGGACAAGGCATGCCACATGCCAAGGTGTTGCGAGCGTCGTCATGTCTCACAAAATCAACAACTTCATATACAATTCAGCTTATGTTTGCCGGCGACGTGCTCTTAGAGCTGCAGATGGTTAGGGATATAATGCACACTTGATCCCTGCATGATGGGCTGAAGATTTTGGTTCGGTTACCCCGGATGAGCTCTTCTCGGACGGACTGGGCTGAGGAGGAGTATGAGAAATCCTGGAAGGAATCCTGGGAACACAGGGTTCCCTTCTCAGCGCAGTCGGCATCTGATCCCAATCGGTCGCCGAATGGACTCAAGATCGAGCCCATTTGGCGATCGAACGGGCTCAATTCTCCCGACGCTCTCGGAACCGAGCTCATTCTGCCGCCCATTCGGCGGTCGAATGGGCTCAGACAGGAACCCTGGTGGAGCCAGGCCAGGAGTCCAAGGAGAAATCCGGGGAGGAACGCAAAAGCGATACCATGGACCTCCAAAGCTCTTGCATCCTTACCGCGGATACGGATTGGCTGTGGGTAGGAGGATGTGGAGGAGGAGGAAGAGGGGGGGGGACAAATAGTCTGGGGGAGCTTGGGAAGTCCAGGGCATCTGGGAAGTCCAAGGAGTCCGGGAAGTCCAGGGAGCCCGGGAGCCCAGGGAGTCCGCGCGGGGAATCAGGGGAGCCCGGGATCTGGTTGTGCACCGTACGGGGAGCCCTGGGCCTGCGATCCGCACAGGCCTCCCGAGGATTCTGGACGCAGAGCAAGGCAGGAGCACGAGTGTCTACAAAAGCCTCGACCCTTGAGCCTCGCGTATCAATAAGGTCCGCGCTTCCCAGAGCGGGCGAGGGGCCTTCCCGACGGCGCCGTCGTCGACGCCACCGTCGGAGCGGTCAAGGTCGTCGTGGTGGTGGTCCTCCTCCTCCTCCCCCTCTTCTCCCACGTACCCTTGTCGTCCTCCTCTGCCGCGTTTTCCTCGCCGGCGCCGGCGCCAGCGGACGACGACGACGACGACGACGACGACGACGACGACGACGACGACGACGACGACGACAGCGGCGGCGGCGGCGGCGGCGGCGGCGGCGGCGACGACGACTGCGGCAGCGGCCTCGCCGAAGGCGTAGGCCTCGCCGGCGGCGGCGGCCGCGCCGTCCTCCCCGCTGTCGGCCCGCTCCGCGGCGGCGGCGAGGGAGTCCTGGCCCCGCGTGGCGCGTCGGCGCCGGCGGCGAGGCCGCCGGCGCTCCCGCCCTCGCGGTCGCCGTCCGCAGCGGAAGCGACGCCGACGCCGTCGCCGTCGGCGTCGGGAGCGTGGAAAAGCTGGAAAGGCAGGTAGTTCCAGTAGTCTGTCATATATATATATACTAGAACCATCGCGCGCGCGCTTCGCGCGCGCTCCGGTTCTAGCAGACCCCAGGCCTTGACGAGTGCACTGCTCCACGGAAGTGAGTGGACCACAGATGGTTTGAGCGGGAAGCAAATTGCCCACAACGCTGAACGCAGTATGGGCAGTGAGAAGTCCACGCGTGTCAATCCGCATTATTGAAGGCTTTCGGGGAAGGGGGGCGGAGGCCTGATTAATCGGCTTCCCAAAAGGCATTGCGGGAACATGGCTTTGGGGGGCGTCTTGGGGGGCGTGCCGTCGTCGCCGTCGTCGTCGTCGCAATGTCGTCGTCGCCTCTTGGGGCGCGCCGTCGTCGTCGTCGTCGTCGTCGTCGTCGTCGTCGTCGTCGTCGTCGTCGTCGTCGTCGTCGTCGTCGTCGTCGTCGTCGTCGTCGTCGTCTTCGTCTTCGTCGTTTCGTCGTCTTCGTCGTCGTCGGTTCAAGAGGGCACTTTGGGCAACTTTGATCCCGGATGGTAAGGGATGCGGGGGAGGGGTAGGACGTTAGATATGACGCGAGCGCACCTAATTAGCTTGTCCTCCTCCCGATCCCCCTCCTCCCAGTCCTTTTCCTCCCGCTCCTCCTCCCGAGCGCCGGGCACGGCATGGCATCGAAACTGCCTTCGCCGACTTTCCGCCGCCCGTGCCTCTTGGGCCCTCTTTGGGGCCTTTGTGGGGCCCCTTAAGTGCCCCTTGGAAGCCTCTTGGGGGCCTTTTGGGGCCCTCTTGGGGGCCTCGTGGGGGCCTCTTGGGGCATCCTGGGGCCTTTTTGGGGCGGAATGCTCGGATTCTGGGTTCGGGCTGCCCGTCTTGGACCCCTCTTGGGGCTGTCTTGGGGCCCTTTGGGCCGTCTTGGGAGCCTCTTGAGCCGTCTTGGCGCCCTCTTGGGCCGTCTTGGGCGCCTCTTGGGAACCTCTTGGGCCGTCTTGGGGCGATCGTAGGGGGTCTCTTCGACCGTCTTCAACGCTGTGAATGCCGAAAAAGTGTATCTGCTGAAAATATACGTTTCTCGATGGAAAATCAATGATGTTTGCCTCTTGGCGCCTTTTTGGGGTGCCTCCTGAAGGCCTCTTGGGCCGTCTTTGGAGGCCTCCGGAGCCGTCGTGGAGCGTCTTGGGGGCTTCTTGGGCCGTTTTGGCGCCATCTTGGGCTGCCCGGTAACCCAATAGAAGCGCCGGAGAGGCCTCGGGGAGGGTCCGGGGACGCCCCAGGGAGGCCCTGGGCTTCCAGGAAAGCCGCCGGGGGGGGGGGCGCACCGAAATACAGGGGAGGTCCTGGCCCAGGGCCCGGGGCCGGGATCTCCCATATATGTATATATACACACATGCATCTATAAGAGAAAGTTGCTTGGTTATGGGAACTCTTGGGGGGGCTCTGGAGAGCATCGCAGGGCGTCTTGGCGGCCTGTTGGGCCGTCTGGGGCACATCCTGTGTTGGTTGGGCGCCCATGTCAGCGATTCGTGGCGTGAACGGATTGTGTCGAGGGCCTCTGGTGGCTCTCCTGGCCGCGGGCGGCGGCGCCGCTACCGATGATGACTGGGGCGGCGAGAGCAAGAGCGACGATGGCGTCGACGGTGGCGGCGGCAGTGCCTGTGAAGGCGGCGACGCCTCCAACGACCGCAAAGTCGACGGCGACGACGTCGACGAAAAGCAAGGAAGCGGAGGCACAGGGAGGGAGATGTGAGCCCGGGAACAGGAGGAGGAAACAGACGAGGAGAGAGAGAGAAAGAGAGAGAGAGAGAGATAATGGGGGACCGGTGGGCGATCGATAGATCGAACGGCGGCATGGTTGAGGTCAAAGTGCGCAAAGTCATCAAAGCAAAAACTCGAAGTCCAAATGGTATACGGAGATGAGACGCTGAATGAGTAAAGCAACTTGCGCGGTCAGCCGAAATAGGAACGCCACGCCTCCTGTTCAGTTCGCTCGAACAGCCCTGCCCCCTCCAAGGCTGGTAGGAAACAGGGATAGCGTTAGGTCGAACATGTCCTCCGACAGGCGGGCGCTGGAGGAAAGATGCGAAACACGCAAACGATGCCCAAACATAATCGAAACTAAAAGGGCAAATCGTCACCTTACAGTGTTGTGCTTGTTTCCCCACATGCACTATTTTTTGTTCTCTTTGGACACCCCGCGCAAGAACGAAAACACATCGCCCTCATCATCATCATCACCACCATCATCATCATCATCATCATCATCATCATCATCATCATAATCATCATCATCATCATCATCATCATCATCGCATCATCCTTCACACACTCACGCACACTCCCTCGACCGTTCTCATTTAATCAAAACTCACTCACTCACGGTCCCAGTCACTTACTCACTACTCCTGAATGGGTCACTCACTCACGCAAACGTACCACTCATCAGTCAGCACCATCATTACTAGCACACCACCATCGTCACAATCGTAATGTTCCTCTCTCTCTGTCTTTCTCTCACACATTCTTACACCCTCAAGCGCACATCCACACCCACACTTGAAGAAGTACCGGGCGGAGGCCTCGTCCATGAGTGACTGGCGAAACAAATCTCAATTAGGACCCCCCCCCCCCCGAAGCCCGCAGCTCACGTTACGAATCCGAACGGGTCACCAAAATCCTGTTACTGTCGTCACTTTCAGGCGCTCCTGCCCTGAACCTGGTGGAAATATCCCGCGGGATCCTCGTTTGCGCAAGATTCGCGAAAAAAGTCTCAGGCAGGAGCTCCCCTATGGGTCCCGCGCACCACGTTCGAATCCGAGCGGGTCATGAACAAATTGGAACCGTCGCCATTTGCAGGCTTCTCAAGCCTGAATCTTGGAGGTTCAGACGGGGGCTTCCTTTGTGAGTAAACTGAAAGGAGGTCTCAGGCGGGAGTCCCTTCCCTACGGGGACCGCGGCTCATGTTACTAATCCGAACGGGCCATCGGAATGTTGTAACTGTCGTCGCTCTTGGTCTCCACAAACTTGAAGAATGTCAAACGGAAACCTCGTCTCTGAGTGCATCGTAAGGAAATCTCAGGCGGGAGCCGCCCCCCTATGGGGTCCGCGCTTCACGTTGGTAATCCGAGCGGGCCATCGGAACCCTGTAGCTGTCATCAGAGGCCGGAGCTCCGTGTGTGAGTGAATCGCGGGAAATTTCAGGCGGGAGACCCCTCCCTGCGGGGTCCGCACTTCACGTTGGTAATCCGAGCGGGTCGTCGGAACCTCGTATCTACTGTCGGCACTTTCTGGCTCCTCTGGACTGAATATGGACTCGAAGGCTGAGGCGGAACAACGCGTGGCAAAGCTGAGCTTCGTGCTTCCTCCCGCCTGAGCGCGGCCGCGACGAACTCGGGGCCTGCGGGGTTGTCCCAACGGTTTACTCCGGCGCCCCAGCGGCTCGCGGGGTGGTCCCAGCGGCCGTTGCCCCGACGGCTTCTGGATCTTGCGATCGGAGAGCGCGCCCCTGCCAGGCGCGGCGGCGAGGGAGCCGAGGACAATCGGCATGCGTCCCCTTGCCACGAGGAAGGAAAGGTGCACCAGGAGAAGAGGCGGGATGGAGATGGGGGGGAAAGGAGGAGGTGAAGGAGGAGGAGGAGGAGGAGGAAGGACGAAGAGGAAAGGGAGAAATTGAACAAGGAGGGCGAGCAGGAGGAGGAGACGAAGGACGAGGGGAACAAGGAGGATGAAGAGGAGGCGCAACAGAGGGCGAGACGGGGTTCTCCGGCCAGGGAGAAGAGGAAGAAACGAAATTCAATCTAAATCGACTATCATGCGGGGTCCTGCCGCCGGAGTAATGAGTTGTCCTCCTGTAGAGGGACATGCCAGACTTAACATTCGATGGCAACTCGCGGGAGCCTCCCATACCACCTTGTCGGCTCCCTGCGAATCGACGTTCATCGACGCTGACTCGACGCCAATCGATGCCAAATCGACGCTAGATCGGCGCTTCTCGACGCGAAACCGGCGCGATCGCATCGACTCCCAGGCGCGAACCGACGCTAGACGCGAAAGACGGCACTCAGAAGGCATACCGCACCCCGGCGGGAGATCGGCCCTAATCGACGCGAAACCGGCGCGATTGCATCGACTCCCAGGCGCCGACGCTAGACGCTGAAGACGGAACTCAGAAGGCATACCGCGCCCCCGCGACTTGCTATAACTGGCCATCGCTCGGACGTCCATTTCCTGGGCTTTGTTCGGTGGTTTCGTGTGTGTTGCTTTTTCGCGAAATGCTCAAGGATGCTCCTCGAGGGTCCTCGCCGAGAAACAAATACACACGTCCCAGCGATGCCAGAATAAACCTAAGGACAGGGAGGTGGGGAAGGCGCGGGTGGCGGCCTCGGCTGCGCGAGACGCGCGGCGCGCCGACCGCGCTCCCCCCCCCCCCCCGTTTCCTCGATCCGCGCTCCGGCGCTCCGCAGGCACCGGCGGAGCGGAGAGGGGCACACGGGGGGGAGGAGGAGGAGGAGGAGGAGGAGGAGGAGGAGGAGGAGGAGGAGGAGGAGGAGGGAGGAGGAGGAGGAGGAGGAGGAGGAGGAGGAGGAGGAGGAGGAGGAGGAAAAGGACGAGGAGGAGGAGGCGGAGGGCGGGGGCATCGGGGGGGCGGGCGAAGCAGGGGCATGGGGGGGGGGGCTGGCGGGCATCGGCGAAGGGTCGGGGCGGGGGGAACGGGGGGGAAGGGGGCGGGCGAAGCAGGGGCGGAAGGGGAAGGGGCTACGTCCCACCCCCCAACGGCAAATCCTCGAACGGTGCTTGCCTGAAGCGAACCGGTCCGCAGTCGCCACGCAGCGGGTGCGATACGAAGTCTCCTTCGAAAGCCGCAGCGGTTCCACTGGTGGGGGAAACAAGAGGGCACGGGAGGGGAGCGAGGGGAGGAGAAGAAGAAGAAGAAGAAGAAGAACAAAAACAGGAACAAAAGCAGCAGACAGACGGAAGCACCGAGGGAGGTGCGGCGGCTGCTGCGGAAGAAGTCACCGAAAGCCCAGTGTGCTGCCTGCTCCTCAGGGGAGCCAGCAAGCTGCTCCGAAGTGGCTTGCTCGGCGGCAGCATCGCACACAGGAGTCTCTGATCTTCGCTGGATGGGCCTCCGCGGCCTCAGGGTCGTCTGAAGATGAAACAATAAACCCAGCGCGTTCAGTTGTCACTTTGGTGTTGCCCAGTGCCGCTGGAAAAAAAAAACAAAAAAAAAACGCAATCTGGCTGCACTGACGGATCAAGGCCACCCTCGAACATCTTATCAGAAGCAAAGACATAAAACTCACGCAACACGACTTCCACCAACTCGGAGTCCAATGAACCGAAGATTGTGACTTCTTCCTTTATCTAACAAGCGGCGCACGAAGCTGTTCTAAACCGGCTTGGCTAAGGCAACACACGTGCCGGGAGGGTAAACATTCTTGGTCGCAGTCTTGACGGAAACTGAAACGTCCTTCCCGACAAGGCATTTCTGCGCCGTCCGACTCGTCCTTCTCGTGACCGTCGTCCTCGTCCTCCTTCTCGGTTTCGTCCTCGTCCTCGTCATGGTTCTCCTCGTCGTGGTCCTGTTTGTCGTCCAAGGCGTCGTCGTCCTCGTCGTCGTCGTCGGCGCGTTCGGAGTCGCCGTCGTCCTGCAGGGACGCCCGCTGCACCATGGCGGGCGCGGAGGCCATGGGCTGCTGCACGGCGCCAGAGGGCGTGGAGGGGATGTGCACGCTAATGAACGTGTTCTTCACCTAAGCAGCCGCCGCCGTCATCGCCGTCGTCGCAAGTACCAAACCTAAACCTCCTCGCCGCGAGACAAAAAATTATTCCGGCGAAGGACCCAACCATGTGCAGCTGTGTGTAACGCAGGTGTGGGTATCGTCCTCGGTGAACCTCCCTCTGGGGCCACGACGCGTGTGACGGGGGTGCCAAAATTGGCACGGGTACGCCATGCGGACGCTGCCACCGGAACCGTCGTTGCAGCCCCATTTGAGGCCACGAAACGTGTGAGGGGTGCGCGGAAATGCAGGGTGGAACCACGTGCGGGCGCTGCCACCAGGGCCTTTGGTGGCCGCGAAACGTGGAAACGGTGTGCCGAAATGGAGAGGGAACTGCATGCGGAACCTGCCACTGGGGCCCTGCGTGGAACACTCCATGGGGCCACGAAACGTGTGAGGGGTGCGCCGACATGGAGGGGGGACTGCATGCGGACCTGCCACGGGGGCCTTAGGTGGAGCACCCTATGGGGCCGCGGAACGTGCGAGAGGTGCGCGGAAATGGAGGTGGAACTGCATGCGGACCCTGCCACTGGGGCCTTCGGCGGAGCACCCTATAGGGCCACGAAACGTGTGGTGAGGGGTGCGAAGAAATGGGGATGGAACTCCCTGCGGACCATGCCACTGGGGCCTTCCGCGGAGCACCCTATGGGGCCACGAAACGTGTGAGAGGTGCGCGGCGGAACACCCAATGGGGCCACGAAACGTGTGAGGGGTGCGCCGAAATGGAAGTGGAACTGCATGCGGACCCTGCCCCTGGGGCCTTCGGTGGAGCACCCTATGGGACCACGAAACGTGTGAGGGGTGCGCCGAAAAGGGAGTGAAACTGCATGCGGACCCTGCCGCTGGGGCCTTCGGTGGAGCTCCCTATGGGGCCACGAAACGTGTGATGGGGTGCTCCGAAATGGAGGTGGAACTGCATGCGGACCCTGCCACTGGGGCCTTCGGCGGAGCACCCTATGGGGCCACGAAACGTGTGAGGGGTGCGCCGAAATGGAGGTGGAACTGCATGCGGACCCTGCCACTGGGGCCTTCGGTGGAGCACCCTATGGAGACCACGAAACGTGTGAGGGGTGCGCCGAAATGGAGGTGGGCATGCGGACTGCATGCGGACCCTGCCGCTGGGGCCTTCGGTGGAGCACCCTATGGGGCCACGAAACGTGTGAGGGGTGCGCCGAAATGGAGGTGGAACTGCATGCGGACCCTGCCACTGGGGCCTTCGGTGGAGCACCCTATGGGGCCACGAAACGTGTGAGGGGTGCGCCGAAATGGAGGTGGAACTGCATGCGGACCCTGCCACTGGGGCCTTCGGTGGAGCACCCTATGGGGCCACGAAACGTGTGAGGGGTGCGCCGAAATGGAGGTGGAACTGCATGCGGACCCTGCCACTGGGGCCTTCGGTGGAGCACCCTATGGGGCCACGAAACGTGTGAGGGGTGCGCCGAAATGGAGGTGGAACTGCATGCGGACCCTGCCACTGGGGCCTTCGGTGGAGCACCCTATGGGACCACGAAACGTGTGAGGGGTGCGCCGAAATGGAAGTGGAACTGCATGCGGACCCTGCCACTGGGGCCTTCGGCGGAGCACCCTATGGGGCCACGAAACGTGTGAGGGGTGCGCCGAAATGGAGGTGGAACTGCATGCGGACCCTGCCACTGGGGCCTTCGGTGGAGCACCTTATGGGACCACGAAACGTGTGAGGGGTGCGCCGAAATGGAGGTGGAACTGCATGCGGACCCTGCCGCTGAGGCCTTCGGTGGAGCACCTTATGGGACCACGAAACGTGTGAGGGGTTCGCCGAAATGGAGGTGGAACTGCATGCCGACCCTGCCGCTGGGGCCTTCGGTGGAGCTCCCTATGGAGCCACGAAGCGCTGTAATGGGTGGGTGAAACGCAGGGAGGAGGGAGGAGAGGGAGGAGGAGGGAGGAGGAGGGGGAGAAGGAGGAGAGGAGGAGGAGAAGGACGCGGGGCACCGTCTCTTCAAAACGAGGACCCAACACCACAGGATGGTTGGGAAAAACACGATGGCATCTTGTTTCCCGAAGCTCTGTCTCTGGAGGACCTGCCTGGGACCCGCGAGCGTCAAACAACTGCTCGGGACCAAAGGCTGGTTCCGAGAACAGGGCTCAGACAGCTGAGGGCCCACGCACCCACGTAATGAATTATCCTGGCGAGGGACCCAACCATGTGCAGTTGTGAGTGACGCAGTTGTGGGTCACGACGCGTGTGACGGGGTGTGCCAAAATTGGCACGGGTACGCCATGCGGACGCTGCCACCAGAGCCGTCGGTGGAGCACCCTATGGGGCCGCGGAACGTGCAAGGGGTGCGCCGAAATGGGGGTGGAACTGCATGCGGACCCTGCCACTGGGGCCTTCGGCGGAGCACCCTATGGGGGCCACGAAACGTGTGAGGGGTGCGCCGAAATGGAGGTGGAACTGCATGCGGACCCTGTCACTAGGGCTTTCGGCGGAGCACCCTGTGGGGCGACGAAACGTGTGAGAGGTGCGCCGAAATGGAAATGGAACTACATGCGGACCCTGCCACTGGGGCCTTGGGTGGAGCACCCTATGGGGCCGCGAAACGTGTGAGGGGTGTGCCGAAATGCGAAATGAGTGTGGAACTGCATGCGGACCCTGCCACTGGGGCCTTCGGTGCAGCTCCCTATGGGGGCCACGAAACGTGTGAGGGGTGCGCCGAAATGGGGGTGGAACTGCATGCGGACCCTGCCACGGGGGCCTTCGGTGGAGTTCCCTATAGGGGCCACGAAACGTGTGAGGGGTGCGCCGAAATGAGGGTGGAACTGCATGCGGACCCTGCCACTGCGGCCTTCGGCGGAGCACCCTATAGGGGCCACGAAACGTGTGAGGGGTGCGCCGAAATGGAGGTGGAACTGCATGCGGACCCTGCCACTGGGGCCTTCGGTGGAGCTCCCTACGGGGGCCACGAAACGTGTGAGGGGTGCGCCGAAATGGGGGTGGAACTGCATGCGGACCCTGCCACTGGGGCCTTCGATGGAGTTCCCTATGGGGCCACGAAACGTGTGAGAGGTGCGCCGAAATGGAGGTGGAACTGCATGCGGACCCTGCCACTGGGGCTTTCGGCGGAGCACCCTATGAGGCCACGAAACGTGTGAGGGGTGCGCCGAAATGAGGGTGGAACTGCATGCGGACCCTGCCACTGCGGCCTTCGGCGGAACACCCTACAGGGGCCACGACACGTGTGAGGGGTGCGCCGAACTGGGGGTGGAACTGCATGCGGACCCTGCCACTGAGGCCTTCGGCGGAGCACCCTATAGGGGCCACGAAACGTGTGAGGGGTGCGCCGAAATGGAGGTGGAACTGCATGCGGACCCTGCCACTGGGGCCTTCGGTGGAGCTCCCTATGGGGGCCACGAAACGTGTGAGGGGTGCGCCGAAATGGAGGTGGAACTGCATGCGGACCCTGCCACTGGGGCCTTCGGCGGAGCACCCTATGGGGCCACGAAACGCTGTACTCGGTGGGGGAAACGCAGGAAGGAGGGAGATCAGCAGGAGGGAGGGAGGAGAGGAGGAGGAGAAGGACGCGGGGCACCGTCTCTTCAAAACGAGGACCCAACACCACAGGATGGTTGGGAAAAACACAAGATATCGGACATCGTCGCCGTCGTGGTCGGGGCCGTGGTCGTGGTCAAGCTCGTCAACGTCGTCGTCGCCGTCGCGGTGATTGCGGGCCCCCATCCGTAGTGGCGGGGAGGCGAGGCGTAAGGGGGGGCGGAGGGAGGGGGTGGGCGGGGCGAGGCCAAAATCTCCTGTCCCCGTCGTTCTCGCCTGTGTCTTCCCGCTCGTCGGCGTCGCTCCGCTCCTCCCTCCCCCTCCTCCTCCTCCTTCTCCTCCTCCTTCTCCTCCACCTCCTCCTCCTCCACCACCTCCTCCTCCTCCTCTCTGCTCCTACTCCTCCTCCCCCCCTCCTCCTCCTCCTCCTCCTCCTCATCCTTCACCACCTCCTCCTCCTCCTCCTCCTCCTCCTTTTCCCCCTCCTCCTCCTCCCCCTCCTCCTCCTCCTCCTCCTCCTCCTCCTCCTCCTCCTCCTCCTCCTTCTCCTCTCTTTCACACCCAAAAGGGGGTCCAGCTGAAGGGGGGTGGTGCAATATATTTCGGGCAATTATGCTGGGAATGCATTGCGCCGGAGAATTGTGTTGAATTGTATTGCAAGGAATGTATTGCACGCGAAAATCCAGCAATACATTTGCGCCCCGGACTGTATTGCACGCCCCAAATATATTGCAACCCCACAGTTCTATTGCACCAAATCTATTGCTCTATTGCACCACCCCCTTGTCGCTGGACTCCCTTTTGGGTCAACCTGGTCCTCCTCCTCCTTCTCCTCCTCCTTTTCCTCCTCCTCCTCCTCCCTGGGCTCCGGACTCAGGGAGTGGGTCGGGCGACGTGCTCGTCCCTGCTCTGGGCTCCGAGGCCGCAGTGGGCGACGACGACGACGACGACGACGACGACGACGACGACGGACGACGACCACGAAGGCCGGCGACGACGGACGACGACGACGAAGGCCGACGACGACGACCACGAAGGCCGACGACGACGGACGACGACGACGAAGGCAGACGAGCAACGGCCACGGCAGACGACAGACGACGCTGGACGACGAAGAAGTTCTCCCTGGCCGAGGCCGCAAAGACGGCGCGCGCCTGGCCCACCATGCCATGCTGGCCCACGGCGCCAGGCTGCCATGCCATGGTTGCGGAGGCGCCAGCCTCCCCGGAGGGGCTTTTTTCCTCGTCGTCGCCCCTGTCGCGCTCCCCCTCTTTCCCCTAACGCTTCCAACAGCGCGTCGTCATCATCGTCATCATCATCATCAGCATCATCATCATCATCATCATCATCATCATCATCATCACCACCATCATCATCAACCTTTCCCTCCATCGCACCATGTTCGTCCTCCTCCTGTTCCTCCTCTTCCCTCCCCTCTCCTTGTCCACATTTCCCTCCTCGTCCTCCTCTACCTCCCTCCCCGCCCATTCCCTCCTCCCTCCTCCCTCATCTCTCCTCCCTCCATTTCTTCCATTTCCTCTTCCGTCTTCATCCTCATTGTGTCCCTCTCTTTGCATTCCCTCCTGCCCCTTACTCAATACGAGTACCCTTCTGTACCTTCCCTGATTTTGTGCAGTGCGGGAGCTGCCTCTCGCACATCCCGATATTTCCCCCCCCCCCCCCCGCACACGTGGTTCCTCGTTCACCAGCGTGGCCCCAAGACAGTGCGCTCTTGCTCACTCGGTGTGCAATCTAACTGCTGCTGCGCGTGTGCATGTTGCAAATTCGTGGCGGACGCTAGGCGTGATGCTATATAGGTGGCGCGAGCTAGATGGTGCGAGCTACGCGGCGAAAACAGTGTGGCACGAACTACGTGATTCAATTGTTGTGGTGAATGTTATATGATGATGCTGTTGTGTGGGTTCACCGCTGCAGTAAATGAGATGTGGTGCTAACTTTGTGGTGCCAGCAACGTGGTGCAAAACACTTGGTGCAACCCACGGAGTGGAAGCTATGTAGTGCCATCCACCTTGCAGAACTTGGAGTCGTCAACTCTACTGCTCGCGCAATCCCCACTCCACTCTCCCACCCACAACTTATTCTGAACAACCAATGCGGCCGCGAACGCGGTGGCTACTTGGCAATAACCGGCGCATCTCTGCGGCTGAGCTAGCGCGCGCAAGCTCACGCGCAGAGCGGCCAGCTGGCTTGGCACAGCCGACGCGGCCGCAATGGCGACAACTGGTGGGAACTCCCAAGCGCGTCTCAGCGGCCACGCTGGCGCGTGGGCACTTCGGTGCGGATTCGTGGCTGGGGCGGGCGCGCTATCATGATAGCGTCGGCAACGGCGGCAACGATGGTGGTGGCAATGGTGACGATGACGACGGCAGGCAATGACGGAGCCGATGCTGGCGACGATAATAATAATTCTGATGATGTCTGTATGTTGGTGATGAAGGTGGTTGGCTGATGATGGCAACAATGGCGGCGATTGACACAACGATATCTGCGGAGATGCGGTGGCGCCGATGAGGGTTATGGTGAGGAAGTGCGCGCGCGGAAGCACAACACGCATGGCAGACACTGTGTTAGACACATTGGTCGTTGGTTATGAAAAAGCTTTATCTTCTAAAACAGAAACGCTGGTTTGGATTTCCATCCTCGAGCCTGGCGGCACGCGCATGCGGATCGCATGGTGTTATTCGACACGGATCCGAGCACTGGGTGCTGGCTCAACCAACGCGGAGCGGAGGCACCACGTGGAGAAGTGAGGATGCGGGTTCTGGACGCAGGTGCTAAACTCATGCCCCATGTGACAAGATGCGCAGGAGCAGCAAATGGTTGAGAATTGCGATGGAGAGTCTAAGGGTGACTGATGTGCTTCACGTTGAAGTGCTTGCAAGACTGATTTGTTGTTCTGACGGCGACACGTGTGTGCGCGTGTGGACTGTGCCCCATCTGTTGCAAGCAGTTCTTCAAACATGATTTTTCATACGAAGGAGCGCTCGCGCATCCCCACAGCTGACAGGGAAGGGGGGGGGCGTCGTTGCCCGGCTGGGCTGGGATGGTATGGCTTCTAATTTGCAAACGAATCATGGGGCAATATCGTACAGTCGGGCCGCTGAAAGAAGGAACGCTGAATGAGGGAGGAAGCCCCTTTTTGGCTCTAAAAGCGCCTCCGTGCCCGAGGAGAGCGAGAGGGACAGCAATGGAGGAACCTGGGCAACATCGAGCCCCTTCCGAACCCAAACAGTTCGGGCCCGCCTCTGCCCCCGCGCCGCCCGCCTCTGCGCCTCCGCCGTCTGCCTCTTCGGACCCTCCGCCTCGCCCACCCCCTGGTGGGGCCACGAGGAGGCGGAGGAGGAGGAGGAAGAGGAGGAGGAGGAGGAGGAGGAGGAGGAGGAGGCGGAGGAGGAGGAGGAGGAGATAGAGGGGGGGGGGGGGGGGGGGGAGGGGGGGGGGGGCAGCGGCCACGCGGGCCCCTCTGCGGGACAGGGGAGAGCCCGGAGGTGGCCCTCTGCTCCTCCGTGGCCTCCCACTCCTGCTGCCCCCCCATCCTCCTCCGTCCACCCTTTCGTCCTTCCTCCTCCTCCTCCTCCTCCACCTCCTCCTCCTCCGCCTCCGCCCTCGGGTTGCGCGGGCATTGTCGGCCTTCTGCTCAGTTCAACTCTACCTTCTGGCAGGGTTTCCTGCAGCGGGGCAGCACACCACCGCACATCATGTGCGGGGGCAGCCGCGCTCCAAGCGGCTCCGATGGGGCACACGGTTGACTCAAGGGCCCGCCCTGCTATCCGATACGCTCCCTGGGGTCTCAAGAGTGCCCAATTGATGGACGCATGGACTCCCCACGGCCTGATCCTTATCCTTATCCGCCTCCAGGAAGGAGAACACTTGCTTCTCCTTATCCTTATCCTCCTCCTTATCCGCCTTATCCTTATCCTTATCCTTAGCCTTATGCTCCTGCAAGGAGAACCCGGCGCCAAGGAGAACCCTTGCTCAGTTTGCGCCCACGAAGCGCCAACGCGCGCCCGCCCCCAAAGCGCCCACCTGCCTAGCACCAGGCGGTGACCCGCCGCACGCACCCAGTGCAAGGGGCGCCTACGAGGCGCCCATGGGCGGCGAGCAAAAGGGAAGCTTCGGGTTCGAGGCTTGAGGTTCCAGGCTTTTGGACGTTCTCGTCGGCTCTCGGCGGTGTTCCAGCCCCGGGATTCTTGCCAGCAGCCGCGCATCGCCGAGGGCGTTCTGGGGCTGCCCGGATCGTCCCGAACGGCCGCCAGATACCGGAGCTATGACCCGAAGAGCACATTCGGCGGCGGGCGAAGCCCCGCCACGCCCACCCAGCGCAAGGGGGCGCCCACGAGGCGCCCACAGGCGGGCACCTCCCAGGCGGCAGGCGAGCGCCGCCACACCCACCCAGCGCGAGGGGCTCCCACGAGGCGCGCACGGAAGCGAAGACCTGGCACGCCCAGGAAACATTACCCCGATAACAGAAAGAACAGGCAAGAAGCAGCACCCCGGTAACAGACAGAACGCCCAAGTAACATTACCCCGGTAACACGCCCAAGAAGCATTACCCCGTCCAGCGCAAGTGGTGGTGAAGGGGGGAAGTATGCTCGATCAGACCGTATGCGGCATGGTTTGCGAGTCTTCAGATCTTCGCGCCTTAAGAGGTTGTGTATGCACGTCTGCTGCCTGTACGACCACCCTTCGGGTGATGAGGAGGTTGCGGTGGGTGAACCAACTGACGGCACCTGCGATGATTGTAATGACGTCGATGCTGACTATGCGCTCGCGAGCTGGTGATCAATCTCACTATTGATGCCATCATCGGTCACTCTATCAACCGATCAGTCTTACTAGCAAGCGGTCTCAGTATCCATATCACAATCGATGCTGCAATCGATCTATCGATCTCACGATCGCTCGGTCTAACGACCCATCGATCTCACTAACAATTCGCGATCGATCTCACGGGACAACCATCGGGACAACCATCGGGACAGCATCGGGACACCATCTGGACACCATCTGGACACCATCGGGACTCTATCGAGACACCATCGGGAAATCTTTGGGACACCATCGGGACACCACTTGGACACCATAGGGAAACACTCGGAACACCTTTGGGACACCATCGAAACATCATCGGGACACCTTCTGGACACCATCTGGACACAATCGGGACACCATCGGGACACCATCGGGACAATCATGTGGACACCGTGCGGACACCAAGTAGACACCATGTGGACACCATCGGGGAACCATCAGAACACCATGGGGAGACCATCAAGACACCATCGGGAAACCATCAAGACACCACCTTGACACCCTCGAGGCACCATTGAGACACCATCGAGACACCACCGGGATATCATCGGGACACCCCCAGGCTACCGCCCACCCGCGCAGGTTCGCCTCGCCCGCACGCAAGACACGAACACGAAGCCGATTTTCTGGTGGGGGGATCTCCGTTTCACTTCGATCTCACCGCCCAGCCTCCTCTCGATCTATCGGTCCCACGATCGACCGCACTGTGTGACGAGCGGTCTTAGTGTTTGCTGCTCGATCTGACACATGCTCTCACCATCGGTCACCTTTTTCATATGTAAGCCTCACTATCAAACGGTCTCAGTTTCCATATCCCAATCGATCCCACTAGATATCTATCGATCTTCCGATCGATCGGTCCCCCCAATCCATCGATATCGCTACCAATCGATCGATCTCACGGGACAACCATCGGGACAACCATGGGACACCATGGGGGCACCATCGGGACACCATGGGAGTACCATCGGGACACCATCGGGGCACCGTCGGAACACCCTCGGGACACCATCGGGACACCACCTGGACAGCATCGGGAGCGGCCAAGAGAGGGGTGTCCGAGAGGGGGGGTGCAAATCATGACCGGCGGCACGTGCGCGGCCCGGCGGGGGGGGGGGCAGGGACGTCATGGAACAAGCAGAGGCGCCAGGAAATCTGGGGAGATCTCATGGCCCCCGCCATGATATCCCCCCCCCCCCTCGTCGTCACCCCCCTCTCTGCCGCCCACGACAGCATCGGGACAGCATCGGGGCACGACCGGGATACCCCCAGAGGCCACCGCCGGCCAACCGGGGGGGGGGGAGCAAGGGCGCAACATCCTTTGGCCCAGCTG